AGCTCTCTCCGCCAATTAGTAAAATCTCAAGCTCGAGAAGCCTATAAAGCTTATGTGACCCGTACAGAGGCGAACATCGCCACTGATCCCTCGTCCTTCTGGTCCTTTATTAAGGCTAAACGTGGTCAATCATTGCTGCCGGCCACTATGTACGGCCCCCTTGGTGCTTCATTTCGGGGCCCAGAGGTAATTGTATCAGCGTTTGCAAACTTTTTCCAGAGTGCGTATAGGAATTCTGCTCAAGCAGACGATGTTTTTCCTTCGTTGTCCTTCTCTGATCTTGTTGATGTCTCCCCAACAATAACCGCCGACGAAGTTATCACAGCGAGTAGATCCCTTAAGAACAAAATGACTGCGGGCCCGGATGGCATTCCCAGCTTCATTGTAAAAGATTGCGCGTTTGTTCAATGCCTTCCACTATGCCACATCTTTAATTTAATTCTGAAGAATGGCTGTTTTCCGGTTGCCTGGAAATCAGCTAAAGTTCTACCGGTTCATAAAAAGGACGACCTCCAGAGAGTTGACAATTATCGGCCTATTTCCATACTCTGTAATTTTTCCAAGTTGTTTGAAATTATCGTTTATAAGTCCTTGTTCTCGCAGTGTAGATCCAGAATATCTAATGACCAACATGGTTTCTATTCTAAAAGATCATGTATTACTAATCTCTGTGCCTTGTCACACGTTGTTAGTTCAGTTCTTGATGAAAGGGGTCAGGTTGATGTGGTGTATACTGACTTCAGCAAAGCATTTGATCAAATCGATCATCAGACTTGCTAGTGAAGTTAAGTGGTCAATTCAATTTTTTCTGACAGACTGACAGCACTCATGTTCTCATATCTCATTGATCGTCTTCAGTTTGTTGAGGTCGAGGGTTACCGCTCGGACACATTTACTCCAACTTCCGGAGTTCCCCAGGGGTCCAATCTCGGCCCACTACTATTCAATTTATTCATAAATGACCTCTTAACAAGCATTTCCAGCTTAAAACTGGCTTATGCCGATTATCTGAAGATCTACTGGCAGATTGACGGGCATGAGGACTGTCTTTTCTTGCAAAGCAATATTGATAGAATTAACCAGTGGTGTACTCAGAATCGATTGAACCTCAACGTCTCGAAATGCTGTCATGTCATATCATAGAACCCAGGTTCCCGTGCAGTTTGATTACAGTATTGCCAACAATATACTGTCTAGAAGGACAACGTTTAGGGATCTGGGTGTCGTATTTGACGACCGACTAACTTTTATAACTCATATTGATCAAATTGTTGCGAGTTCGTCAAGACTTCTTGGCTTTATTATTCGTAACTGTAAACTCTTCGTAGGTTCTGAACCTCTCAAGCTGCTCTATTTTTCGTTGGTCAGGTCAAGGCTGGAGTATGGATCTTTGGTATGGTGTCCAATCTATGAGTGTCATGTTGCATCCCTTGAATCAGTACAGAGGCGTTTCTTAAAGCAACTGGTGTTCAGGGAGGAGGGGGTTTACCCTGTTAGAGGTGTGGATCACATTGAGCTGTTGTCTCGGTTCGATGTGCAACCACTTTCCTTGAGAAGGATCATTCACTCAGTAACTTTCCTGTGGAAACTGCTGAATGGTCTTATAGATTCCCCAACTCTTTTGGAAACGATACCATTCCGGGTGCCACGACCTGCCTCCAGAGCGAATACCACTTTTGCGCTTCCTCGAGCCAGAACTAACGTTAGGTTTCAGGATCCGATTTTCACCATGTGTAGCAACCTTAACTCTGTCTCCGTTGACTGTGATGTGTTTGACTGCTCTGTGGGTCATTTGGTCTCACTGGTGGGTGGGGGGCATTAATGGTTAACTATTGTTTATAATAGTAATTTATAATTAATAATTTGTTATTGTTGTTATTATTATGATTGATTCATTTAGGTTTAGTTTTCTCTTTTTGTATTTTTTTTTCTTGGTTTTTGTAAATTTGATATTTAATGTTTAGTAACAACCTATTGTTTAGATTGTATTTCCTGTAAGTGGGCTCTAATTGCCTGTTGGAAATAAAGGCTATTATTATTATTATTAATAAATAGAATGTAAATAAAAATTACATTTATCATTAAAATTGCTTAACATAACCTAAGACATTGTTACTATTGTAGATTTCGTTTATTTCAATAAATTCGATTTTAGATTATTTCGAAAAGACTTACCTATTCTGAGTATGTAGACTATAACCATTTTAGAACGTATGAGGTATAAACACTAATAAACACATTGAAATGGTGCAAAAAACTATTGTTGCTGGTGCCGGACTTTATAAGGAGTGTTACAAAATAAAAGGAGCCTCTCTTTGAGCATCAGAACGAAGAGAATGCATTAAGTCAAGATAATAGTGATGAAATATGTACAATTACCGAGTAAAAATATAACTTAACGGCAATTTATACAAAATAAATTATTTTACTTAAATCCCTTCAATTAAAAACCATTACGTACTTAATAAAGCTCTAAAGTAGGTAAAAAATAAATAAAACTTTTTAAATCAAACTGTTTATTTAATTTTTAATTCTCATATCTTAATTCATTAATATTACAACAGGAACCTTAGAAAACCTGTTATTCAATTCACATTTGCTTTTATTTCTTTTGTGTTACAATTTTAATTTAATTTCTTGCACTATGTACCTTATACTGTGCTTATACTTTATACATCTCTTCTTCATGCTGTTTTTTAAGTAACTCTCTAGCTAAACCTTTTTAAAACACTTTCTTTGAATATCAGTTAGTTCAAGTTTTTTACTGTTAAAAGGTTTATTAATATCAACTTTGTTTACACAATATTTTTCCTTTATTTTTTCCTGGTTTTTTTGAAGTTCCATCACTTTGAGTTCTTAAAAATAAAAGTAATATGACAAAATTGTTTTATATTTATTTTTTTTATTAAAAAAGTTGTACATATGTGTTAATGTAACAATTATTCTAGGTGCTCTTAATTTATTATTTATCAAGACAAAAGTATCTAAAATCATCTACATATATAAAATGCTAATGTTTATCTGTGTCGTCTCTACTGAAGTAACGACTTGCTTTAGAAAGTTGCTTTTTACTAAAAGATAGCTAATTGGCTCTTCAAAAAACTATCGTCGCCGGATTTTTTGTTTTTCATTTAATTAAAAAAAAAATAATAAGTATTTTTTTTCATGATGTCGCTGTCGTGGCGGATGCGCCAGGCTTCAACTAGTACACCAATAAATGAGGAGATAAAACCACAGTCTTTGGGGTTATATACTTCTCAATCTTGCTTTTATAAAGAAAAATAATATAAGTACATTTATCTATTTTATAAAATAAAAACTCACCTTAATTACTATCATCGATGCTATCCTACCTATTTCTTTATTATGAGAAGCCCTACAACAATACATATTTGTTATTACTAACAGCCTTATGCTATTTTTTTACCAGATTGTGGTTTTAGGATTTATCTATAAATCTCGATCTGCTTGCACTTCACCAGTTTCTTCCATATTTTCTATTATCAATTTATTGTACTAAAATGTTAATATAATAAATATAACAGTAATATAATATAATTAAATTATAAATTAATTTGTATTGCCTGAGTTTCTCTTATTTGCACAACGTGTTTCAAAATTCGGTCCGCTACTGAAAACCATGAAACTTTTGGTTTATACACTTCATCTGCACCTGCTCCCGAATGTTGGCTCTTCTTAATTTTTGCTATTTCCAAGGCATGCGCATTTCTTATAGAACGTATTTTTGCTTTTACTTCAGCAATTCCAAAGCCTTCAATATCCATTAATTCGGAAAGTTTTTGGTAAGCGTTTTGACGACCATCTTTGTTTTTTTAAGAATTGCTATGTACATCCCATAAACAAGGGTAAGATTCATACCCTTCAAGAAATTTGACTGAAGTTCTGCTGACCACTTTTTTTAGCCATAATAAACTAGATAAACTACAATGACAATCAACAAAATTCGAAACCAAACTAAAACTGGCGAGTACATGCCGACGTCCGACGTGCAAGCACTTGTTTACACTTGCAAGTTTTGAAATTTGATAGGAATTTTTCACCACTGGCGCCAGTAATATCAGAAGGATGCAGACTTTTTTGGTCTATTGCATGCAAGTTGATGTTTACAATTTAATTTACTGGCGCGCCAGTTTTTATTGGCGCCACTAAATTCATGCATGTGTAAACTCACCTTTAAACCAATAAACCAATTTCGGCAAAATAAAAAATGTGTCTGTCGGTGGATCTGTTAGTTTTGACGTCTTAATATTTTGAATGAGTTGAGCTATCGACTAGATATTTGGTAGGTATCATGTAGGTATAGAATCTAACCCACAAGACATTATTTCGGATTGTTTTTAAGCAAAATGCGTTAAGGGGAAGGGGGTGAAAAGGAGGGCTGATTGATTTTTTTTTGTAAATATGAAATAATATATTTTTATAGGTTTTTTTAAAAGACAGGGAAAGCTAAAAAATAGGGGTGGAAACCTAAGGGGGTAAAAATTGTATATTTTCCAAAAAATCGAGTTGTATATAATTTTATGGGTTTTTAAAGGAATATAATATAGATTTCAATTTTAAGATTTATTTTGTATTTTGACAAAAGAACAGAATAGAATATTTTTACAAGCTTTTATTCAACTTACTTTGCATGTAACTATATTCAAATTCAAATTCAATTTTTTTATTAAGCCCCCATTACGTTTTACAGATTAATAATTTTACTATTCTTAACCTTCGTAAGATACCGTTAATTTTTCAAAATTTTTCAAACTAGAAAGACACCCTGGGGTCATGCAGACCCATGCAGACTATTTATAGGTTTTGGAGGTTAAAAATAATATATCATAAAGTATGTATTAGATAACACCTTATCTAACAAAAAACAACTATTTCTTATATTTTTAAATCCAACATTATTTATTTTAGACTTTTATTATACAGGAACTACAAAAAAATCTTATGACAAAAGAAGTACATAGGTAAATAAAAAAAAGTTTTCACTGACTACATTTACAACACACAATAGCTCGATGAGTATCGCAAATGGCAAGCTTACATTTACCACATAACATTTTTGCCTTCCTATCCCTTTCTCGAGGACAAAAAGCACATCTTGTACGTTTTGCTAAAATTTGACCCTGTGCTGCTGGTTCTAGATTTTCGGAAACACCCAATATATCTCTAATATATGTTTTGAGAGATTTATTTAGTGTTGGTATTTCTAATCTAACTCGTAGCAATGGTTCAATTAGTTGAAACGACAGTTCATGCAAAAATTGTCTTCTATTCATAGCACTGTCCCTATTAGCTAAGTTGAGCAGCACTGAAGAATATGCATGATCAATTCCATAATCCATGATCAATTCAGGTTTTTTTGTATCGTTATTGATGTCACTGGAGTAGTGCATTGTCGATAATAGAAGTACTATTTTGCCTTTTTTAGGAACAAATGAAACAAGTGTTTTATTATTATCAAATGCAAACTTTGATGGTCCTACATCTTTTCCATTTAGAAAAGAAGAGGGAATTTCCCTTTTATTCTTTCTTAGCGTTCCAATCATAGTTAGGTTATATTCAGTGAGCATTTTATTGAAGAGATCTACCGAACTAAACCAGTTATCTACTGTGATATTTCTATTTGTTCCGTGTATCGACTCCGATAGTTTCCTAACGTAATAAGTGGGTACCGGTTCATCGATTTCTGTTGTCACTTTTCCGACATACGGGATTGCGTTAACCATGTACCAAGTTCGGGAGTCGTTCATCATAATAATTTTGATCCCATACTTATCTGGTTTGGATGCTAAATAAATTCGAAATGAGCACCTACCTCTAAAACCCATCAGCTGTTCATCTATTGTGCAATAAGAATGGGGGGTATAGTGCTTGCGACAGTTGAATGAATGAATTTATCCCATATTTCTCGAACAGGTGCCAATTTATCGTTCGTTAGCCGCTCTTGTCGGGTTCCTTTGTCGTCAAATCGTAGGCAAGGTGACAAAAATTTGAACCGATTTTTTGACATTGTTGCCCTGAAGAAAGACATGCCATATCTATTTGACCACAATTCATCAGTACTCGAATTTGCTGACTTTTTAACTCCAGATAAATACAGAAGTCCAAACAAGGCACAAATTTCTAATAAATCTGTATTGCGATGGTAAGACTGTAAATTGTTCATAGTGCTTTTCTTTCTTGTAATTTCTTCGTTAGTATGGAGAACAACTTTGTCCAAAATTTCTTGATCAAATAGAAGTGACCAAGCTTCAAGTGGGGTTTTCACGCGAGCCTCTCCTTTAGGACCTGGCATAATGGACACAATGTTCCTTATTGGACGTCTTCCTCTACTTTCACGATGTTCAGTACTCCATTCATAACCATTTTTACCTTTCAGTATTGCAGATCTATTCGTAGAAGGCTGTTTTTCTTGCATATCCTCATCACTCGACTCACTTCCTGATTCCTGCTGCTCTTTCTCTAGAGGCTGTTCTACTTGCATTTCTTCATCACTCTGCTCACACACACACACACTATCTGACACCTGCTGTTCTTCCAAATAATCTGAATCCTCGTCCGTGTAATTGTCGCCAAAAAAATCATCCTCTTCGTTTTCCTCTTCTAAAAGAAATTTATTCATTTCTTCCTCGAGCTCTTTTTCTGTCAAAGGGCGCTTGCTGCCAAAAGAACTGCTGGCTTGATCCATAATGTTATTTTTTTTTCTGAAATATAGCCAAGTAATAACTAACAATCAGGAAAACTGATGAAAAGTACTCACCAAATAGAAATTATTTAGAGTAGTAACAACTTTCACTACTAATAAATATGTAACGTCAAAGACACCTTGGGGTCAAGCGGATCCCACACACACTTTATCTTACGGTTAAAAGTCAACTAACTCAAATATCAACGAACGCTGCGGGCGACATCTGGATAACATGCTAACTTAAATTTACACGAGAGGGCAGCACAGTCTGGCGCTTTATTTCAAATTGGTTTACAGAAATATAAAGCCTGGGGTATATGCGACCCCACGGTGTCTTACGAAGGTTAATAAATGTGTGTCTAAAGGGATCGCACCGCGATTAAAAACCCATAGAAAGACACAAGTGCAAGTGCCAGGGTGGTGCGACCCCAAAAATAAAATAGAATTAAATTACATTAGAAAAATAAACAGAAACTAGATAAATAAACAAAAAAAGATAAAATATAATTTTATTAGGGATGAGCGGAGATAAGCAGAGAGGCATAACGAAACAGTGTAAAATCCGGAATAGCAACCAATGACGCACATATCAGAAGAACAAGAACCTCACAAATCAGTCAAAGATATTATAATTTTCACGAATTTAGTAAATGATTTTTAATTTGTTTTTTATAATCTGTAAAGGATTGAAATTTAAAGTTATTAGAAATATTATTCCACAAATGTGGCGCTATGAAACTGAAAGATTTTTGGAAGTTAGCTGTTCGGTGTTGAGGAATTTTAAAATAATGCACTTGCCTAGTCGAATGAGCATGGTCAACGTAGTGAAATAATGAGAACAAATAGGGAGGCTGCTCTGTAGTTAAAATTCGATAAATGAATGTCATTAAATGAAATTCTCGTCTGTTAGTCATGGATAAAATAGATAAATTTTTAATATGTGGCGTTATATGATCTCTAAAAGTAATGTTAAAAGAAAACCGTAGACACGAGTTTTGAAGTATTTGGATTTTTCTAGAGAATCTATAAGATGTACCATAAACAACATCGCCGTAATCAAATAAAGATAAAATAAGTGTGTCACATAATTGATACTTAGTCTTTGATGGTATATATTTCTTAAGAGATGAAAAATTCTTCAAACGTATATAAGCAGCCTTTAATTTAGTAGTTATATGTGCCTGAAAAGTAAGCTTCGCATCAAAATAGACTCTAAGATTTTTAGTCTCTGTAACAATGGGTATCACAACATTATCTATATGGATATTCATTTTACCAGCCGTATTTGTAATTTTGTTTATATCACTACCAAATACCATGACACAAGGTTTACCGGCATTTAATTTCAAATTATGATCCAGAGCATATTTATTAATTTTATTCAGATCGTGGTTAAAATTTAACTGAAATTGTTCCAAATTATTAATATCTATTTTGCAATAAATTTGAGAATCATCTGCATATTGCTGCAATTTAGAAAACTGTATTTCCTTATCCATGTCAGCTACATATAACGAAAATAAAAGTATATGTATGTATGTATGTTTGTTCGGGGCAAATCTTGTAAGCTAAATTAGAATCACTTCCTTTCATTGTAGGAAATTGAAATTTGGCATGTAGGTTCAGTCCCGATAACAATACATTTTTTTGCAAAGCATGACCTGGATTTTTGGCGGCCAAAATGACGGTATTTTTGAGGTTTTTGATTTTTTAAAATTCTATTTATGAATGGATCGAGCTGAAATTATATATCGTCGGTCCAGTGCCAATACCATGAATGTGCAAAATCATGATTCTGAAATATTAGCATTTTAAACTTTCAGTTTGCTGTGAAAAATCAGTTTTTGGGCGTATCTATCTTATTTTTTTGTACTTAGGGTAAGTATACCTGCTGAAATTATATATCGTCGGTCCAGTGCCAATACCATGAATGTGCAAAATCATGATTCTGAAATATTAGCGTTTTAAACTTTCAGTTTGCTGTGAAAAATCAGTTTTTGGGCGTATCTATCTTATTTTTTTGTACTTAGGGTATACTTAAACTGTTCAAAACCTGCCTGTTATTTTTTTTCTTTTTAGTCAATTTTTTTGAAAATATCACATTCGTGGATTTAGACCTTAATTTTACAAAACCATATTAGCGAACGTACCACATTCAGATTAGCTTGTGTTCCTATTGCAATGCCAAAAATCCGAATGTGTCACATTCACGGTACTCGTGTACCTAGTTCTTAAAAAAATATATTAATTTTTTTGGCGGTGCACCGTTAAAATTAATGTATACGAAGGTAGTTAGGCCAGGTTTAAGAAAATTAACAAGAACATTTTTTAAATTGTTTAATTATGATAATATTAATAACTATTTTAACAAAAATCAGTCAAAACCGTCAAAATACCGAGTTTTAACTTAAAAGGTGGTTCCTAACAATCTTCCTCTTCATCGCTATTTACACGTTCTTCATCATCATCAGGTCCAGGTAATCTGTCTCTGACTGATCTTCAGTGAATTATAAAATGGATGATAATTTTTTGGTATGGTTAACCATACGTAAGATCGCTACACATTTTCTGTAGGTCTTCAAACTTCGCACCACTAATTGGTAACTCATCGCTCTAAGCTTTATTTAACAGTACCTTTTTTGGTCTTCCTTTAGACTTAGTTATACTTGCCACTTCGAATTCGTCATTATAATTAAATTTGTAAAGTATTTTTGTTTGATCGGCTTCGTTGAATGACAGAATGTGATCCCAAATCAATTTATCATCCTGATCTCTGAGCTGGTTAAATGGAGCGTGTTTACCACACAAATCTCCCCTAATCACCCCACTAGAAGATCGTTTTTGACATGCTGTGCGTATAAATGAGTCAGTGACATTCAGAGTAGCCATAAAAAACTCACGAGACTTTTCTTTTTCGGCCATCAACAGTGAACGTATACTCATAAGTAAAACTTCTAGAATTTTCGACGTTTCTTGTTACTCTGCTCTTAAACCGTTATTCGACGTGATTTATAACGAAAACTCTTTGATCATCTAGGGATGGCAGTTTTCGAAACTGGTTGTAAATTTCACGAAGGTTTTCACAAATACAATGCATTTATGGTTTGATTTTACGAACCACAGGACGTGCGGCTTTGGTTATGTTTTTTTGCGCCGATGTATGACTCGCCTCTGCGTCTTTTGTCCTTTCTTACACAGAAAAAAAAACTTGTATAGATTAGATAAAATACTTAAGCACTATCGGGACAGACAAAACCTAATTTACCGTATCTAAATATTTTGACTAGAATTTCTGTCCTAATATAAATAACCCTATTATGTAATTTATAAAATATTAATTATTAAGAATTAATAAACATTTTTGTGTTTGAAATGAAGTCGTTAGTTTTTTCAAATAAAATATTATGTACTATACAAAAGAAAATTTAGTAGTTGAAAACAGATGAAAAATATAGTTGTGTGTAATAAACAAAGGTTTTATCAAAAAATGAGGAGGTAATTCACTAAGGTACATAGGAAGAAGTACTAATTTAGAAAAATTACATGTTGTAGTAAATACTTTTATTTTATCAAATACAAAATAAACGTGCTGGTGTATATAATATCTTAGCGTGAGGGAACTAATTTACCACCTACATTAGAAAAGTTTTTTACTAAACCAAAAAAGGGGATTTGCTAGGGTAGATAAGCACATATGCGTACTTAGAGGAAGTTCTTATGTAGATTCAGGGTTTATGGTTATCCTTCAGCAACTTCTAAGCGAAGGAGCTTCCATCGTCCTGCTGGTTTTTCCTTTCGGATACTTATTGTTGACAAAATATAGGCCAGTAATTGCATTATAATGTTAGCTCTAGCGCCTAAAAAATTAAATACAAAATTATTAAATCTCGGATACTTCTATTACTTTATAGATAATATAACCTGAAGAAATATCATCTGTCAACTCGTTTAGTAGTTTCTTTATTGCGTTGTCTTTAGAAAAGTTGCCACGACTTGCATATTCTATTTGAATAAATTCATTGCATGATCAGGGAAGGAAGTAATTTTCCACCTGGAAATCAT